AAAAAAAAAAAAGAATTCAGATCCTGGGCCGGCCTGGTGGCGCACTGGAGAGTGCGCCGCTTGGGTTCGGATCCCATGTGGAGACCGGTTCCCGCTCACTGGCTGAGCGCGGTGCGGGCGCAACACCGAGGATTGCGATCCCGTTGCCGGTCAGTAAAAAAGACAAAAAGGAAAGAAAAAAAAAAAAAGAATTCAGATCCTGAAACGCCAGAAGTGATAAAAAGGGATACAGTTCCCTTCCTTTAGCCAATGCAAGGATCCTAGTTACAGAGAACATCCTGAATTCTCACTCATTTCCCCTTTTCTATCTTTTATACTTACCAATTTATCAGTCCCATGATTTATCTTCACCTCAGAACTAAGTGGAAGAAATAAGTCTGTTGTTGCATGCTCTGGGGGAGGTGCCTCCCCAAGAACTATCAAACCCTGCAGGACAGAAAGGAGAAAACCAGCGTGAGTGGTATAAATCACAAATTTAACTTAGGAGTTAATATCAAAAAGTTGGGGGCAGCAGGTTTGTTTGCCAGAGGCCTTTCCCCCTTATCCTACGGTTCAGTAACTAAACTATACCAACATCAGCTTTGCTTTCCCAAACAGTTATTACAACAAAAAGCCTAAGAGTAGCAGAGTATTCAGTAAGGCATGAGACTCAGACCCAAGCTTCCTCTCTCTTCCACTTGAATGCTCTGACCTACATGGCTTGTCAGCCATTTAGCATCTTTTATTCAGAACTTCCAGATCAGGAATCTTTACCAGATTATGTATTTTATACTATATTACCAACCATACAATACTGAATTAACAGTAGGGATGCCATTTTTCTAGTTAACTTGTTCACAAATGTGGCTTCGGGATTACTTAATTGAAAGTGCTACTATTGTAAATGATGAGCTCAACCAATTGTATCTGAGCAAACAAAACAACTGAGTAAAACAAAGGTGAACAATCCCTACAATTTATTAGAAACCAAGAACTTCTTAAAAACTTCCCCCAAAGGCGCCTGTTTCTCATAAGCATAAATATTACTTCAGGTTAAGTTCCTGCTTAACAATTACACTCATCTCAGGAAATAATAAAAAATGTAAAAAATTAACTTAAAATGATCCCCCGAATCCTCTCCATAGTAGGCATAATGGGCCTACCTTGGTAAAGGCAGGAGTTAGCTTGCTATGGGGGGGGCGGGGGGGGGGGGGACCGGGGGGAACATGCACGTGAATGTAAGAGT